AATACAATCTAGAGTTTTGGGGGGAAAAAGCAACAAAGATGGGAAAATGATGGGAATTAGATCCTAGAGGAAGGGCAGACAAGTAAGGAGTATTTTAGCTTATACTAAAGAAGGCGCTGGAAGAAAATAGATGCAAACTTAGAACTCTATACTCAGTGAAAACGTCCTTCGAGAATGAAGCAAAAGGACATTTCATACCATCAATACTGGAGTAATTTGCTATCAGATTCTTACTAAATTCTTTAGGTAGAAAGAAAACAATGATTGCACATGACCCAAATGTCTACCAGTAGTAAAACAGATAAATTATGATACAGCCGCATCATGGAATCCTATGTCAATGAAAATGAATAAACAACCTTAGAGATGCTGCAAGGATAAAGCAAGTGGTACACACACCAGTAAATCTAAATAAATACTGACTATAATAGTAATAATGTCTGATGGATTTTAAAAAATATATCATATACACAGCAACTTCAGACAAGAGAGTATTTAAATGGCCAATAAACATATGAAAAGGTAGTCAACTTCATTAGTCATCAGGAATGTAAATTAAAACTACAAAGAAATACCACTATATACTCATCATACTGAACAAATGAAACTCATAATACATTCCTGGTGGGATGGGAGTGAAAACTGATAGTGCTTTAGAAAACCACTTTGCAGACTATTATAGTTGAACATATGTACTCCCTACAATCCAGCAATGCCACTCCTAAATATATCTTCCACAGAAATGTGTGTTTATGGGTCCCAAGATACAGCTACAAGAATATTCGTAAGCTCAAACTGGAAACTACCCAAATATCCAGCAAGAGTAAAACAGATCAACTGTGAGATATCTATATAATAGAACCCTACATAGCAATGAAAATGAATGAGTATTGCCACACAGTGTGATTCAATCTCACAATGCTGCACAAAAGTAGCCAGAAGAACAACAAAAAAACTAAAATGATTCCATTTGCCTAAAATTAAAAAACAAAATTATATAGTTAACAGGTTCATAATTAGGTAGTGGAATATAAAAAAATCAAAGAAGAAAATACCAAAAAAGTTGGGCTCCTGGGTGGGATGGTGATTGGGAAGGGCCCACAGGGGGCACTTCTTGGGTGCTAGCTGTTCTCTTGATCTTGTTTAACATTTAATGAACTTTCCTGTCTATTTTGTTACAGTTTACTTTCAACTTTAAAAATGAAAAATATGATTTAAGTAATTTCTATGTGAATACTTGTATAAATGGGTAAACAATTCTTCATGCATATGGAAAATCTAACAAACAAAACTGGGTTTAGTGATTCCAACTGGACAAAAAAAATATATAAAATTATTAATGTGATTTAATAGAGGAAAAAAGTTTAATTGATCAAGTATTTATTGAGTATGTACTAGGAGTCTGGAAATAGAAGTTTTATCTCCTAGAATTCTTTAAGGAAAGAAAAATTCTGGCCTAGTAATTTAGACATTTTCATGTTTGAGGCAGGAAAATGAATTAGAAACCTGGAAGTACATTCCTGTTCTTTGACAACAACCTTTGTTAGGATACGAGGCTGTCCTTTGTCACTAGTTATGTGTTGGATTGAATTAAAACTGAGTCCACATCACATTTCTAAAGCCAAACATGAAAAGAGAAAATATGCTAATTCTACCCTTTGAAACTTAAATCTGATTTTTCTGAGTAGATGCAAAAAATTATGAGCATGATTCTAGATCATTTAATAAAAAAAAAATCACTGAAGTAAAAACAGTGTTTTAATTACTTTGGGGTTCAATTAATCAACTATTTATTATTGAGTGCTTGATGTATATGCCTAGCAGCATTAATTCAAGGCAAATATATTCATTAGTTCCATTTATTTGTTATTGAAATGAGACTTACATCTCATTGATCTCTTAGTAGGAGGGCAATTTTTCACTCTTCAACAATGATATGAGAGTTAGGGAAAGGTGTTTTGACTCTGAACATTTGAAAATGGACCAATGAACCCAATGACTCCAAATCTTTCAAAGAAAAAAATTTTTCCTGTTCTGTTAGAATAAAAATCTTACAAGGTTACCCACATATGATCTTAGCTCTTCAAAGTAGTTGGCTATTGCAAATCATTATTACAGCACACTAATACATTATTCTCCATCCCCTTGGAAGAAACAGAGTCTATCTCAGAAGACATAAGGTCAAGCCTGCTACCCAGCAGCCTAAAAGTTCCTCTGTTCATTTTGAAATGGCCATACCAAGATAACAACAAAGTAAAAATGAACAAAGAATAAAAGGAAGTAACTTATAAAGCAAGTACGGAGACTCAGTACTTGCGGTAACTCACAGCAGGGTGATACTGCTGGCTTAGCCTAGAGCTCTGAGGTTTCTTCCTCACAGGGAGTCTGACATCCTCTAATTGAGAGCAGAGTGCCTCTGTTCCCACCAGCGTGGAATGTTTGGTATGTCACAGATAATTCTCACTACTCTGCTCCTGTGTGTCTCCACAGGAGTTAAAGACTGTGCCATCAATAACTGGGAAGGAAGAAGGCTCCCTTCTATTTATAGTCTTTAAAAAAACAGACTTTAAGAGGGAAAATGGTGGCATAGGGAACCCCCGAGATCAGTCCATCCCCTGAAACAACCATTAAGCTGGAAAGAACAATCAGAAGCAACTATTTCGGGACACTAGAACCTGATAAGGCACAGCAACTAGGCGAGTGCTTGATGAAGGGCGAGGCTGCTGAACTTTGGCAAGAGAGCAACCGATGTGAACTACCTACCACTCCATTCCTAGAGTGGCTGAGGGAGCTAGGGTGGGCAGTGAGCCCTTGTCCTCCAAAAATTGGGGGCTGTGCATTTTGTTTGGTTTTGAGTCTTGCCTTTAGTTTGTCCCCCCCACCCCTCTGGTGCTGGCTTCCCCAGAGCTTCTATTGTAAGATCTGAAGAGACATCACCCCCCACCCCCACCCCAACCCCTTCCTTTTTAAAAAGATCCAGACATTAAAGGAAATGCCTGTCAGGTTACAGGCTGATTGCAGAGATAGCACAACAGGAATTTTAGTGGCCACCTGCAACAAAGACTATGCCTCTGCAAAAAGAGTCTGGAAAAGTCACTCTATAAATGGATGACTACAGCCCTCAAGAGCAATCTGTGAGGAGGGGGAGGCTCTGACCTGTATACTACAAAGGTGCAGCTTGCAACAAAAAATTGCAAAGCATACAGAAAACAGGAAAATAAGGCTCACCCACAGGAAAAAAAGAATTTGACAGAAACTATGCCTGAGGATGCCTAGACACTGGCATTACTAGGCCAAGTGAACTGTAGTAAATATGCTTAGGAGCTAAAGGAAACCACAGACAAAGAACTAAGGGAGCACAGACAACAAAAGCAAAAAGCAACACGTGGAACCACATCCAACTAAAAAGCTTCTGGACAGCGAAAGAAATAATCAACAAGATGAAAAGGCAACCTACAGGACGGGAGGACACATTTGTAAACCATATATTAAGGGGTTAATATCCAAAATATATAAAGAACTCATGCAACTCAGTAACAAAAAATCAGATTAAAAAATGGGAAGAACTAAACATTTTTCAAAAGAAGATATCCCAATGGCTAACAGGTACATGAAAAAGGTACTCAACATCCTTAATCAGCAGGGAAATGCCAATCAAAACCACAGTGAAATATTACCTCACACCTGTTAGAATGGCCATCGTCATGAAGATGAGAAATAACAAGCATTGGCGAGGATGTGGAGAAACGGGATCCCGTGTGCACTGTGGATGGGAGTGTAAAACGATGCAGCCGCTGCAGGAAACCAGTTTGGTGATTCCTCAAAAAGTGAAACAGAATTGCCATTTGATCCGGCAACTCTATTTCTGGGTATTACACACAAAAGAATTGAGAGCAGGAACCTGAATAGATATTTGTACACCAATGTCACAGCAACATTCACGTAGCCAAAAGATGAAAACTACCCAGATACGTGTGTGCAAATCCACACATACATTGGAATATTACCTTAAAAAGGAAGCAAAATCTTGATGAACCTTGACGACATTATGTTAAGTGAAATAAGCCAGACACAAAAGAACACAAATTATATGACTCCATTCCATAGAGACAAAGTAGATTAGAGGTTATCAGGGGTTGGGGAGATGCAGGAACTGAGAATTACTGCTTAATGAGTACAGAGTTTCTGTTTGGGGTGATGAAGATGTTTTGAAAATAGTGGTGATGGTTGCACAACACTGAAAGTAATACAAACGAACTGTATATTTAAAAATGGTTATAATAACAAATTTTAGGTGATATACAATTTACTATCTCCCTAAATGGAAAAAAAGATGACTTTGAGGTGCGTTAACTATCTTCAGGTGTTTGTGGGGAGAAGCGATACGGGTTTAGAGGAAAACCCGAGGAAAACCATGTACCCTCAGCCTAAAGATGGCCGTCTACACTCTGTAACTCAGAAGGAAGAGATAAAGGGCCAATATCATAGACCTGAAGCACCAGACATTTAGTTAGGCTCATAAGGGGACACAGAGCAATGTCCTCATGGAAGAGAGGTGGCCGACAAAGGGTCAGATGCAGGTGCTACTGTGGGTCCTGCCAAACTCTGCTTGGGACAATGTTAGGCGTAATTGTGCTGCCATTATTGGCATATGGAAATCTGATAGTGGGACTGGGACAAGAACCCTTGAATCCAGGTATGTCCAAAGACAGACCATCTTGAGAGAAGGCTAAATGAAGTTTCCTATAGAAAGGGACCAGATGCTTGCAAGTTCATGAAAATGTATTCTATCACTTAGTATCCAAACATGGCTGCCACCAGACCCTCTCTCTTTGAGAAGTGGAATTTATTTCCTCTCCCTTTAAATCTGGGCTGGCCTGGTGACTTCTTTCACCAACAGAATGAGGCAGAAGTCACATTGTGGTAGGCAATCTCTAGGATGACCTCCGAAGTTCACTGTTTACTGGTATTAACAGTCTGTCTAATCTCTTTCCCTTGAGGGTGGGCTGGACTTGTTGACTTTCTTCTGAGACCAGGTTATTATGACTATGGCATCCATCCCAAGGCTGTCCCTATGATCACTCTGCTGGTGGAAGCAAGCTGCCAAGTGCTGAGCAGCCCACGTGGCATGGTGAGGAACTGCGGCCCGAAGACCAATGACCTGTGAGGAAATGAAGCCTGTCAAAAACCGCAGTGAACTTAGAAGGGGATTCTTCAACCTCAATTGAATCCTGAAATAATTACAGCCCCAGCTGACACCTTAACTGCAGCTTTATGAGAGATACTTCGAGCCAGAGGCATCCTGGTAAGTCACTTCGAGATTACTGACCTACAGAAACTGAGATAACTGCTTGTTGTTTTCGGCCACTAAGTTTTGTGGTAATTCATTACAGAGCAATAGAAAATGAATATAAGATGTTCTGGGACCTAGGTCTTCCCTTCCCTTCCTCTTAGAACCCAGCCTTCATCCTATGAGAAGCGCAAGTCATATAAAGAACCAAGGTGTTCATGTTGACAATCTCAGCTGAGCACCCTCTACCAGCTGGAACTACAACTCCAGACCAGCCACCCCAGCCAGCTGCCAGCCATTTAAGTCACTCCAGCTGTGGCCCTAGCCATCATGGAACCGAGGTGAGCCAGCCTCTCTATGCCCTGATGAATTTCTAACCCGCAGAATCACTGAGCAAATAAAATGGTTGTTGTCTTAAGGCACTACATTTTGGGGTAGCGTGTTACGCAACAATATATAACCCAAAGAACCACTAATCAGGAGGATTTGCCATCAGAGGTACAGACCGCACTGAGTATAGATCTGGGGCTTCTTGACTGATATACCATACATCAGTGATTCATTCATAAATGGTGGATAAGCTGGACAACCAGATGCTTAGACAGATAATGCAGGTGCATAAGGAAACATTTTCCCATGGCCATAATCTAAAACCCTAAATCCACCAGTTAATAATGTCTTGGCAATGTGAGCTGTTGGTGAGAGACAACAACAGTTTAAGCCAGGCTGACCAAAAGATAAGAAATTCCCTGTGTATGCCCCGTTGGAATTAAAAATGCCCAAACTAAAAGGCTACATAAAAACCAGTATCTTGGTTGCTACTAAGAAAAGCAGCATCACTGTTTCCCGGCATTAGTTATCTGCTCACTGAAAGGGGAAAAATCTGCCAAATCCCCGCCTCTGACAGACAGATCTGAAAGAGAAAGGCTGTACCAAATTGCATGAATGATAGCACTGTCACATAGTTGAGAAAAGAGCAGTACTGATTACATGGAAGTTACACGGATAAGGAGTTAACATTGCAACAAACTGTAAACCAGACTTTGCGATATAGACAGTAAATGGTGAGTACTGTAGACTAGACCACTTTGGAGAAGGCGTCCCCCCTCAGAGAAAAGCCTGAGAAGTGTCTAACTTTACAATAAAGGCAGTCATTGATATCAAACCTCCCAGACCTCTCAGGAACGTTTTTGGGAACCTCATAATATAATCTTTTCCTTTTCCCAAGCAGAAGTGTACAACTATCATTTCCAATAGCCATAAACTAAGAGGAACAAGAATGGGAAAAAAGTCTACAAATGTGTGTCAACATTAGCAAGACCCTCTTACAAGACTTTAATGTGCACGTTTCTGAGATACAAGAAGATTTGACAGCACAAACCTGGAAGGAGCAATAGCACTTGCCAACAGCTGTTCCTCAAATGCCAACAAGCCACTACCTACTGGTATCACTAGCTTCTGCCCAGGAAACTTCAACAAAAACTCAGTTGCCCACAGCATCCAAATAATGGAAAGTCACTAGTGGCCTACTCAGAAATATCTGAAAACTATGCATTAATTAATATAGTCATGTGAGGGATGGGTCTAATGCACATATCATAATATGCAATGTACTACAAACCAGAGTCATGTACAAATGAATAAATATCAAGCCAGGGGATAAAGAGTCCTGGAAACGCTATGCAACAATGCCTTCAGAGTCTAGCTGCCATTTAGCAAACAGTTAGCTAATTTGTTATCTAGCAAAAGTTTTCTGTGTCATCACTGCTAGTCTGATTAATGATGCTGAAATTACTAAAGTTCTTATAAAAGCATATTTTATGTTGTATCTATTGTCTTTTAAAGATATTAACCACCACAACAAAATCCTATTGGAATATGCACCAAAAAATAAACATGTATGATCATTGTTAGAATAGCAAATGGAAGAGAAATATACAGAACCCTAACAATGTGCATGTAATTAGGGAATAATTTATTAAAAGATAAATCACGTGAAGGGATGACATGGTAACTCTAAAAGAATAATCTTTCCTGTCCTTTCTGAGAAGTCTTACATTAACACAAGCACACACTGGTTTGCATCTGGCAGGCTTCCCGAGTCCATTAGCAAATACATAAGCAAAAATGAAGAAAAGCTTTTCTAGGCATTTTGGTAAGGATTATGAGTCCATTACCAGACAGATCTAGTTACAAATGTTCCCCTCCTTTCAACTAGATTATACTGCAAAGAATAAAACTGATTTTACCTCAAACGGAGGGAGATGTGTTGCAGCCTGAAATATAGGTGAAGTTTCTGGGGTCCAGTAATTAAATCTTAGCCACTTGCAGTTTAATGACACAAAACAACTGTTATTTTCTGCCCACATATCATTTCGTTAACCAGTGGTTCCGGGGTACAAGAGCATTCATTTCAGTCCTAGGAAGCCACACTGGATTATATACATCACAGGCACATTGCTTTTTTTCACTAGGGGTTGGAGATGTGGCTTTAGAGTCCTACAGCTCTGAGCATCATGATTTAGAACGATCTCGTCTCCCCAGTGACTCATTTACCCACCCTATATTTAAGCTCTCCCCTCTTCTTTGCCTTTTTAATAGGTTTAAACAAAATGGCTATCAGTCTCTGACTTCAGTGATTTCTGTCATCCACCATTCAGACATTTTCCTCATTTCTCACCATCACTGTGTGATATCAACCTTGTACAATTCTTGGCCAATGGCCATATTAATTTTCTACTTGAAAGAACACAAATAGAATACTGCTTATGACGAAGGTAGGAGGGGAGCTTGGGGAATAGCTGTTTGTCTTGATGCATAGCAATTAGCTTTGCAAACAGAAACAGTAACATGATTGGACCTGATACCTAGCCAAAGCTGCCAAAAGAAAAAAAACAATCATTCTGCTGGGGTTAATGAGTGGCTTTTTAAATAGTGGCTATTGACAGTTATGCGTATATTTGCCTTTTTGGAAATGGTACGAGCAGTGTGACATCAGAGATCTTCAGTTTCCATGGTGATTATTAGTGATGGCATTTGAAGTGTTGTGGTTAGTTTCTACTGTATAATTTCTTGCACTTTACGCCATAAGAGAGGGAAGAGAAAGAACAGCTTCCTCTTAACATTTTTAAAGGAATGCTGATCATCCAAGCAGTTCAACATTATGGCTTTTGAGTAGATACAATTTGTTAATATTAAACAGATGTGTTGACAGAAGCTACATGAGTAAGCTGATGAGAGATGTTAAAGCACTTGGACTTAATAGGGACTAATTAATTGCTTAGATATTTAGCAGCAATTAACAGTTCTTTCCTGCCTACACAGTATTTTATAAACTGTTGTTCTTACATGAAGGCAAAGGTTATTTTCTTACTCTGAAGCAATTCATCCTGAGTTGAGAAACAGTCTAAGCTGCGAGCAAAACTTACCTTCCTCTGCAGTTAAGGACAATGTGCAGGGCGAGGGCTGAGTGAACTTCCCCGCTCAGTATGAACACTCCCCAAGGGCAGGGCAGGCGGCATCTCGTATTTACTCCACCTGCCCTGTCAACCCTCAGTCCCTTGCACATAGGAGATACTTAATACACTTAGAGACTGTGATGATGATGAAGCTGAACATTTCATTTTTGCTTTAATTTTCACATTTAGAGTTGATGGTTAACTTTAAAACACTCAGCTTACTAAGAATTATATATAGTTAAAAATGGAATGAATAAACTTAAAAGTCTCTAAGAAAGTGCTTCATTCAACTCTGCTAAAAAAGGAAGTTTTACATTTTCTCATGTAGTTAATCTTTTAGAAAAATCAGCTATAAAATACACAGTACGTGTATATATCTTCTATAAACAAAATATATTGAGGTAACAGATAAAAAACTATTTTTTAACGGAAAAATCGAATGCATAGAGTTTTTCTGACTAATGATTCAAATCAAATCTGTGTAGTTAATAATATTGACTAGAGGCAGAAACAAAGATTATAAATCCAAGTAACAGAGAAAATCTGCTGGCAAGATAAAAGGAAATCATAATGAATCAGAATGTAATTAAAAAAAAATTCTACATAAACACATTCTTACAGTCACAGTAACCAGAATGATAAACGACCTGTCTCTGCCGTACTTAAGCTACTGGTTATGCCGGACAGAAAATTTATGCTGCCACTGTGTATGAATTTTACAAACGCCTACAGACCAGAACAAGGATGGATTTGCAAATTGAGGGAAAGATCAGAAAAAAAGTAGGACAGTTAAGTCACAAAGTACAACCAGCTATAACTGAAGTTAATAAGTGTCCACAAACCACTAACAGGATTAAGTTACCTATGGTAAACTTTATCAATGTTTTTATCATCATGTACGCAATCTACAAGGCCACTGAGATCAATTGCTGATGAAATTAAAGGGTCTGCTAGTATGGTTTCAGAAAAGAATCTACTTAAAATGTAATCAGTAAAACTGGTTATGTGGAGAGCTAAAAGAAATTTAAGGTACTAAGGGGCAGAATTCTAGACTGTAAGAACTGTAAAAGATAACAAAAACCATTTATTTTTAATAAGGAAATAAAGGTCCACAAAGATCATGTAAAATTATCCAAGATCACAAGAAGAGCTACCGTCAATGCAGAAACGGAATCTGAACCATACGCCACCCTCAAGTGTCTCTTCTTATCTACCATGTCAAATGAATGATTGTGAAGAAATGCAGCACATAAATACCAGTACTATCCCAGAGAATTTTCATTCTAAGGAGCAACTTATGGAGAGTAACTGTTTGACTTTTTACAAAAACCAACACACACACACACACACACACACACACACACACACACACACACACACACACA